ACAAACCAACCAGCCAAACCAATCAACCAAACAAAAAAACCAAGCAGCCCACACAGAAAACTTACCAAAGCACATCAAAGCCAGTATTGGCCACTACTCTCTCTGGCATAGACAAAGTGTGCAGAGGATCAATCATACCCAATGTGGGCTTAAGGGCTCTTGAGGCAATGCCTAAAGCACACATAAGAGTTTATTGTAAGAAGTATTTTAACATAGAAGATAGAATATCTTGAATGTTTAAAATATGGAAGAAAAATTAATGGGCATCATCTGAAACTATAAAGATATGGGGAGAAGAAAGGGAGAGCATGCAATGAATGTGAATCTAAATTCTACTTAGAGAAGATGACTATGTTTTTGTAAAATATTAACTGTTAGCTTGAAAGACAATATTTCTAGAGGACTGAATTACACATATAACAGCTTACATTTTTCATCTTTCAAAATTAATAATTCAAAATCAGGCTAGGTAGCTAGACAATTAAAGATGTTACTGAATACTGGCTGGCTTTACACAGCTGTGAAATGAGATGATACTCATCATGTCATTCTATGGTGTTAACTCAAAGCAATATAATAATGGTCATCTTTGACAGCAGTCTGCACAGAAAGATCAGAGATGCAAAGACTGGAGCATCTGCTCCCCCCTAGCATGATCCCTGTATTCCATCCAAGCACAGGAGAAGGAATATATCAGACAACAGACATGAACACTGACTTTGTAGTTTGAAAGGAATCAGACTCTGATAGCAAATAATTCACATGTTGATTTACCAATGGCATTAGCACATCAGCTTTTTAAAACTCCTTTACCTCCACCAGTTAATGACAGGACCTTGCCTTTATTTTTGTTTTTGTCATTTACTGTTGGTTAAGGTCATGAGTAAAACAGATGACACTGGCTCTGCACATGAAGGTACAAATCTGAGAGCATAGGATGGCTCCAATTGGAGAGTTACAGCTTTCCTATAAGTTTAATAGGGGTGCTAAGCTGCAAAAGACAGAGAACATTTCCTACTGCAGGAAGCTTGGATGAGCTGAGATTTTTTTCCTGGAGTGAATCACACTGGACATTACCTCCTCACTGCTTGAAACCTTCCCTGACCATCTTACATTCTTGAAATGACTGTGCAATGGCTTCCAGAACATTGTTCTTCAATTTAACCTTCCACAAAAAACAGTTAAGCATTAGCAAAAGGCCAGACTTGTTCACCTGCTAAAAATAGTTTGTGTTTTCCTCATGAATGAAACTGGCCCTTTAGAAATGTTTCTAATGCATAATACTGTTTTGCTTTATATGGACTGGAACTGGGCAAATTCCAATTACAGCTACAAATTTCTCATGTGTCCTACTGCACCCCCAAATACTGCAGTATGTATGATATTTAAAATCAATCAGCTTTAAGAAACCACTGCAATACCTCAGGCTAGCTATGAAGCTTAATGATGGCATTTTAATCTTAATCTTTATTTTCTGAGAGTAACAAGATCAAAGAAAGACAGTGTCCATTTCTTTTACTTCATTTCAGGCATACTGTTCCAAGAAGTTAGGAAAGGGAACATTTGGACCCAATTATACAACAAAGAAATGGATCTTGAAAACAGAAAAAATAGAGGAAATAATGAACAGCTGGTTGACCCAAAATATATGTAGAAATTTCCTTTGTACATAACACATTCCACTGTTCAGAGACTTGAAAGGTTATGCCTTCAAACTATAATCTCCTGTATTATTCAAGAATTTCATTATGTTAATATGTTTTCAAATTTCATTCAAAAGAGAAACCTTCAATCTGTTAAGATTGTCTGTAATGGTTGAATAGAGTGAAACAACAGCTGAAATTACACAAGTAATGACTTTATCTCAAGATGGGGGAATACAGTGAAAGACTGGAAAAGATTGGGTTTTGTTAAGCACTGGTCAAATATTCTTACCAGTTTTTACTTTCAGTTCTTTGTAGTCAAAAATGGCAACACCAGTGGTTTCACTTCCAGTTCCAGCTGTTGTAGGAACTTCAGAGAAGGGAAAATTGTATTAATTCAACAAAAAAATAAAGGTTCCTTACCTATACCATGGGTGTGAAGTAGATGAAATATGCAGAGGCCACTCACTCAAAGAATATAGCATTTTAAATGACTAACTTGGTATAGGACAAAGACAGCACATCTACATGAGACATTTACAGTAAGTTGCCTAATTAGCTCCACAGTAAAATGTCACTGTCTACACATGTGGTGCTATTAGGATGGACTAAACTAATTAACTCTGCTGTAAGATAGTACTTGCAAATGTAAGTACTATTCTACAATGGAGTTATTTACTCCACTGCAACGTGTAGATGCTGACCCAGAAGGCTGGGACACAAGGGTACTTCAGTGCAGGAGCTGCCTGCCAGTAAGCCCTGCACAGAGGCACCCTTGTGCCCCAGGCAGGTGATAGCGATCATCGCTTGCTGGAGTTTACCATCCAGCGCAGGGTGTCAAGGGCCAGCAGCAAGGCAGTAGCTCTAGACTTCAAGACGGCCAACTTCAACAAGTTGAGATTAGTGGGAGAGGCACTGGGGTTCTCAAGGGCAGGGGAACTCAGTGCCCAAGATGAGTGGTCGTTCCTTAAGGAGACGATACTCAGGGCCCAAGGGTTGACCATCCCAACAAAAAGCAAGGGAGGCAGGAGTGCCTGAAAGCGCCCCTGGCTCACCAAGGCCGTCCGGGAATGCCTGATCGCCAAAAAGGCGGTGTACACCTGGTGGAAGGGGGGTGCCATCTCCAAAGAGGAGTATACCTCCTCTGCTCAGGCCTGTAGGGGGGCTGTCAGGAAAGCTAAGGCTAGGACTTGCGTCCAAAATCAAAGATAACAAAAAGTCATTTTTGAAATATATAGGGAGGATGAAGAAAGCACCGGGAAATGTGGGGCCCCTGCAAGATCCCCTGGGCAACCTGGTGGTTGCGCCAGAGGAGAAAGCAGATCTTTTTAACCAATTCTTCACCTCTGTTTTCCTGGGCAGGGACCGGGACTTCCCCACCATGATGCAAGACAGACTTGAGGGGAATGCCTCCAGACCTCAGGTTGGGGAGGACCAGGTTAGAGAGCTTCTGGAGGGGCTGGATGTGTTCAAATCAGTGGGTCCAGATGCTCTCCACCCCAGGGTGTTGAGGGAGCTAGCAGGGGTTATTGCAGGGCCCCTGGCACAGCTTTATGAGCGATTGTGGTGCTCGGGACAGGTGCCGGATGATTGGAAGGTAGCCAACGTGGTCCCCATCTTTAAAAAAAGGAGGAGGGAGGACCCAGACAACTATAGGCCCATCAGTCTTACTTCAATCCTAGGGAAACTCTTTGAGAAGATCATCATGGAGCACATCTGTGATGGGCCGGCCTCAGAGATGATGCTCAAGGGCAACCAGCACGGTTTCATTAGGGG